AAACAACAGGGTTGGTTTGGCCCCATCAGCCTAAACAAATACTAGTTTTCTTTCTGGATTAATGGAGCTAATTTTTGGATCCCAACAAAATATTTCTAATTAAATTTGTACAGCAAATTGTATGTTTCTCAACTGACATCCAATCTTAGCCCCTTTACATAACGTTTGTTCACTTATCATTGCTACAAAGAAATAAATTCGAACATGCCAAACTAATGTTTGTAATATTCATTCTTTAACAATGTATATATTTTGGGTTTCCTTCCACAACATATTGTTTTTTTGTTCCCAGTGAAATTCATCCTTTTCTCAATTGCTTTTTTGTAGTAAGAAAAAAAAATGGGAAAAGCTGGTTCAAAATATGGGAGAAATGAAAATGGAAAATAATACGTATTAACTGAAAAATGTCATGCTTGAGATAAGGCATTTTTGTAATTTTTTTTCTAGAAGCATTTTTACCAGAAGGAAACATGTTTTGCAATACTGCCACCTAATGGATTTTGGTCCATTTGTTGGCTCAGAAGTTTGCATTTATTTCAACTATGCTTTTCATCCAAGAAGCTTCTTCAGTTCTGACTTAATTGTAGAGGATGGAAGGATTTATACTCCTTGTAATCATCTGGTCGTTAGCACTCTTTCTGAGATTGTTGAGGCCACTTGGAGGTTTTCTGTGCCCTCAGGATCAGATGAATAGTGCAAACGGGTATGGAACCAAACGGATATGGACAACTCGCCATGGCCAACTCACTATGGTCAACTTGCCACGGCCAACTCAGCATGGGACAGCTCACTGCGAGTCAATTTCACAATTCCATTTACTTATTTAAAATAATTTTAAAAATAATTTTAATTTTTATCTTTCACATTTTATTTTGTCCCTCCTTTGGCATCCTTTCTTTAATAATTCTTTTGGACTATTCTTTCAATATTAGTGTAACTCCTGTGGCAAGTTATTCTGTGGTGAGTTGGTCATGGCGAGTTGTCCCATGGTGAGTTGTCCCAGCAAGTTGGCTGCGGCAAGACGGCCATGGAGAATTGGTTGTGGCAAGTTGTCCTAGACCCTTTTTGGAACTGCTGAAAGGACTGTGTTGTAAACAGGAGATACATGGTGTCATATCTTTCCTCCTCTGTTGACAGAGGGCTGTTCAGTCTTAATGACCCCTCATTCAAACCTATGGTCCTCTCTGTNCACATTACTCAGGAGTTTGATTCTGACCTGCTCAAGGTTGACTCACCCTTCTATCCTTCCGAGGTTGGTAAAATGAAGACCCAGATTGCTGAGGACAAGATGCTGACTCTGTACACCACTTAAAGAGGGTTGTAAAGCATTGTGAAGTCTAAGTGCTATTGCTACCCTATATATCCACAGTTGCATTCAAGGTTTTGGGAGAGGGAGCCAACTCTCTTGAAGAAGTTGACAAGAGAGGCCTTCTGTAATTACTACACTATTTTATATTATTAGTCAAGAACAAATCTGATCCTTACAAAACAAAGATCAGATGGAAATAAACTAGCTTGTTCAAGAGGTGCCACATAATCCAATAGGAGAGAAACAAAAATAGAAAGGTTTGAATCTAGTTTTATAAATAGGACTACTTCTTGAATATTTGCAATTGATTACATTATTTTGGTAATATGTCCTACATTTTTAAATTGATATGACTTATCTCAGTTCTGTGATTTTCTTATTAGCTTATTTAAGTTGTTCCAATCTGGCTTCCAGTTTGAGCCTGACACCTCCTTTGTATATTTCTGTACATTGCTAAACAATGCCTGCAAAATATAGCAGGCATAGCAAATTTCTCCTGTGCTTCAGTAATTGGCACCTTGGTACTTTTATGTACCATAGACATTTTATTAAAGACCACATTACTACACCTATTCATTAGTCTTTTGTTTCATTAAGACATGTTTTTGTAAATAGTGTCCAAAACTTTATTGTAACACATAAAATACAGAGAACCTATTAAAACAGCCGGAGTACTGAAATATTTTTCATACATTTATTTTTAATTTGCTGCCCAAATGTTAGATGAGCACATTTAATGTTGAAAAATAACTGCTTATCTGCTGCAGCCTGAATTATTAGAAACCTCATTTTATTGTTGTACACTTTATAACATTGGGCTTGATGCAGAGCAACTGATAGCTGGAATATTGAGATGACAAGAACATAAGATTACTATGGAAATGAATTTCCCTGAATATGGACTAAGTTTACCCAAGCTGTAATGCATGAAGCCAGGAAGAAAAATTATTCTGAAATGTCTGGGACTGGAGCCTTCAAATAGTGGGGAGCAATGAACAGCATTTGCAACATCAGGGGAGAAATGGAAGTAATGCTGGGAAACATCTGTTCCTGGGAAAAAGCATCATCACTGTTTTCTCTCCCTGATACATAAAATTAAAGATAAGATTAAAGCAAAATCACCCATTTAGTTAATGGAAGGTGTTATAGTGAGGTTAGTGTACCATCCATATGTTCTTCTACATGTATAGGTACATCTTAAGGCAAAGACACTTTTCCATAACCACCAGCCTCCTACTTCTTATCCTCTGCAGTATTTTCACACACTGCATGAGCATCTTTTGCTGAATTCTATCTTTCCATATTGTTGGCCATACCCCAACCTCAATTATTGCTCCTGCTTCTCCTTGCAATAGTTATTTCTAAAAGAAACTAATTGGTCATGGCAAAGGGTAATGATTAAGCTATTCCCCCCTCCCCCATACAAACAAACATTAAGGATGATTCAGATAGTAGCAAGGATTAATGAGCCACCTATCACCAACATACACCCTTTTTCTTTGAGGAAGTTTTTTTCCTGTCACTGGAATATTTGAATGAGGTCTCTTCTCTGGATGTCTGCATGTTTTCTTCCAGGGGGAGCATATGAAATCAATTGCTCCATTCCAGCAGGGCTAGACTGGACAGCAAGGACAGTCTTCTTGATATTTTTTTTTTGTCATGTGAGTGACATGCTGCCATCGGCCTACCTAGGGTTTAATTTTTCCTGGTAGTTGTTTGTTCCTTTCTATATTTAATTTGGACATGGACTTCTGCTTTTACTGGGAGTTCTTCATTTTCTTGGTTGAGTCTCAGAGTAGCTAGACTTGCCTTTAGACCCTTCATTTTTTCTTACAGTATTCTAATTAATTTACATTTGGTGCAGGTATTTTGAGTCCTCTATGAGTATGAATACATATATGGTACATTGAAAAGATTGTTGTTGCAGCTTATTAAAAACCAAGATTGAAAACATATGTGCAGTAAAATGTTTAACTCAGTAAAAATATACAGATGGTGGTATACAAAATGTTTCCTGGATACCTAAAAGCATCTTATTGCAATTGATGGGGGAATGACAATCTTAGTAAATTATAATATTGAAGGATCCATTAAATTACCCAATTCCCAAACTTTAAGATTAAAAAAATAGCACAGTAAATTTGATACCCACTACCGGTCATTCATGACTTTTCAGAAGGCTTGTCCTCTGACTACAAATGCAGTAGGATTTCCGACCAGTTAAAAACAAAGGATGGGAAAAGTGTTGAGCTAGTTATTCAAGAAAAATCAGAACAGAAAGATGGGAAAAGATTCCCAGTTCAAATTGGTCTTTCTTGCTTTAGGGCACATTGATAACAGTATCCGAACAACCATCTTTTAAAAAAAGCCTTGGATCCAGAACTTTTGAGATTTCAGCATTTTGAGGAGCAAATTCAATATTTTGAAATTTGGATTTTGAACATATTCACATTTAAATGGGAACC